TTTGGATAATTAAGAACAAAAAATTATCTAATCTATCCTTAGCATGCTGCCAAATTGCCAAATAGTCATTCGTACTTCTAACTATCAGTCTTGGTGTAGGTGTTACCCCTTCCGCCAAGCATTCACCCATTTTTGCTACGCAATCGTTCGCTAAAACGGGAGGAAAACAAGATTCCGTTGTTAGCTCTTGCAGCTATTCATACAACCTATCGTCAAAGGTAATGCATATGCTACTCATTAACAGTTTAAGTAGTCTTAAGATTAAGCTTAACTCAACTTTACTTGTTCTACTGAGCTGAGTGCCTCCTGAACTGGGATGTTGGTATGCATTGATACCACTTCGAGATTCATATGAATTCTTCACTAAATATTTCCAGTATTCTGTCACTCTTCGTAATTTTCTGCATAAGAGAGGGCGTTGCGCCTACTTCAAAATGAAGGCGACTCAACTAGTTTTCTTGGCATGCTTCTAATTATGGTTACTTATCTGCACGGCTTAGTCCATTCTCCCCTCCTCATACAACGACAAGAAGGTCATCAACAATCGGAAGGAGGCTGGTGGCGGGTACTTATAATGTGGACTTGGTACATTCCCAGGCATTTCACCGGCGTCAGTCTACGGCCCGACGCTGGGACTTATAATAACTACTATTACAGAGAACTTCGGACAAGGTGCGTCAAATTAAGTCGCCCTGACAACACGATCAAGTTGTGAAAACGAGGCCAGATCAATTTTGTCTCGACAGATTCACCGGGACCCCATTTTTCTTTGTAGTTACAGTTATTTTCTCGATCCATACTTGTAGCTTCGAAGCCTTTCTGTGCATACCTCCTCTTAATTTACCTTAATCATGCTTTCATTAACCGCGCCTGGTCTGTCAAGCCGTCATTCGGTCGCCATGCTCTCTCTCTATTCTTTGTCGTCAGGTTTATCAACAAGCTGGTCGCCATGGAGAAAACTCGGGCCATTGGTCTACTTGACGTTTTCTCCACCGTGCCTTCTTCCACACCCGCTAACCCCCCGTTCTTGGCGCCCATCTTCACCGCTTTTGTGGGCGTCACTTTGTCGTCTGTTCTACAGTCCGTCTCGTCGGGCAGCCTCGCTTCCATCTCGACGACCAGAACCGGCGCTACCCTTCGCTCGCATGGGCTACATGCTACCTCCCAGTTGGTGGGTGGTGGAGAGGCTCAAGCAGACGCCGTGAGCACCTCCTCCTCCTCCAGCAATGTTGTCGACATTAACTGGCCTCCTGGTTGTCACGCCGCTTCTTCAGCCTGCCAATTCTCCGTCACCGACTGCCCCGTCGCCACTCGGCCACTATCGCCCGGTCGTCTAGCGTCCGGATCAACCTCAGGCTCCCGACGACCATTGGACGGAGTGTCCACCTCTCTCGTCGGTCCATTCTCTTCCTTCTCCTCGGCCGGCTCGCTCGACTCTCCACAGTCACACCAACAACCCCAACAGTACAGGGCGCTCGCGCCTCCGCGTCCCCCAGCCCCGGCCAGCCTCACGACTCCGGCTCGTCGTCTCTCGGTCGACACTCCCACCTCGTCTGTCGCTGCCGTCTCCGTCACCGACAGTGCTCTTCTCGTTCGTCCGACTCCGAGCTCAGGCCCTCTGCCTCCCAGCCGGCCGACCGGCCCTCCCCGATTCGTCAAAACCCCTGACCCCATACTGTCACCGGTCCCGAGCACTGGACTGGCTGACGCCAACCCTGGCCGAATCAGAACCATCTCGAATCTACGACAACGCCATTCAGTAACCATCGTCAGAGGTTAATATCTTCTTGACTTGGCTGAGTTCTTTTAACTTTTGCACTAGATTCTGTTGTACTTGAAAGAGCAAATGTCTTTACTCCCATTTCAACGGTCCAGAAGAAGAATCAGGCCTATTCTAGTCATATCTATTATGCCCTTAGGCACACAAATACACATATGCACATGAATAAATAAATAAATATATGTAGGCATGTCGTGATTAATAATAGTTTGAAATGTGCGAAATTCGATTTATTTTGAGTTATAAATAGACACCATGTTGCACACAAAATGAGCCAAAATTCAGTTGATGGCATTCAAGATTACGGGGTAGCAGACAGTTGCCCTTATCTATTCATTGATGTCTATCAGATCATATAATTTTATATCTACAGTTAAGTATATTGTAAATTATATCATACCATCACCTCAATAAGAATGGACAAAGAAGATCATATAAATAAAAACTGGGTTTTTAAGAATTCCATATTGAAATATTGTGGCATGAATCTCCATTTCGAAAAGAAATATTGTTGGAAGCAATTCGTGATGTGGTCTCGCCGGAAACCGAAGGAAGACTGTTGAATTGTGTGAAGAAGTCCTCGGCTCACTGTCCTGCGATCCCGATGAAACTGTGCTAAGCTTTCGTCTGTATTGTGACAGACATCATCAGAGCAAGATTACATACTTTACATACTTAGCCAAGAATAGAAGGTCAACCCGAGTCGCCTTCGTATACACCCAACATCACGATCTTAATGAGGCCTCCCCTGATTTGGTTGGTTACTTCAACCTTACTCTACATGCTTGCAAATGAGTGAAATTAATTTCCCGAGCCGGAAATGTGTTTGGTGGCAGCTGCTTCATCACACAAAACTAGCGTAAGATCCCCTATTGCTGAATCATGTTTGGGCTTGTGCCGTTGTCCATAGTATGTGTATGTAACGCTCATGTCTTGAGGAATGTGATAGTCCTAGCTAGACTAGAGGCTAATCTAGCCTCCTCTTGCTCAGTGGCTCTTCCTGACCTCCCTCTCTCTCTTTTTCCTTAAGTCTATCCAACAGGCACAAAAAGATACTACTTAATTTTCTACACTCGTTACTACCATTCGGGACGTTGGCTGTTTTGTCAATTTCTATAGACTCCCTAATTTTACGCTTTGACTTAAAGTTCCCTTGACTCGAAAAACGTTGTGTTTCGGATCAGTCTATTGAGTGTCCTGTATTGGCCATGTGATCAGCGAGCTCAGATTTTTGTACTTACAGATCTATACAAGCGGTTTTGTGTCCACATAGGCTCTTATGAACATACATATACCTTACCACATGAGCACAAAACCTTGTAACAGCCTGATCTTGAAAGAGGCGTATGATATGCCCAAATTCCATAAGCAAAGTACTCCACTTAGGATTAATGGAAACAATACAGTTATATGTACTCAGTTAAAGCAAATCAACGAAACGTGGAAGTTTTCAGTAAATAACTCTTACGACTTTAATAATTTAAGTAATGATCATACGATAGAAAGAGATTTGCTGTTAACTTTCGATTTAGTGCCTATGTACACTAACATTCCGATAACCGAGGCAATGAAGGCTTTCAAATTAACTCTGGATAAACACTCTACAATAACAAGAGGT